ATCTCAGCATTTAGCACTGTGCTTGAAACTAGCAGGTGCTTGCTAAACATTTGTTAAATGAACAAACTGCCCCAAACCAGGACCTTGACAGAAGTGTACATTTAAGTCAAGGGTAGGGATTGATTAAAATTAACTTAGTTAATTTTAACATAGAATAAATCAAAATTCTCATGAAAGTAGAGAGCATGGCAAGAGTAGAGCATCTAAATGTCATCCATTGACCCCAAATTCAAAGCTGGAATGGAATATTGTACATTGAGTCCTGTGGGAGGAAGGACAGAAATGACAGAATGAAGTTGATGACCTGAACACTCAGAAGTAGTACATGGAGAGGGGAATATAGTGGGTTGAGGCAGGCTGTTGAGAACTAGGTCAGTGAATTAAAAGGGTCTTCCAGGGGCTTTCACAGAGGTGGGGCCAGCATCTACTGTGGGGAATAAGTATGGTGGCTTCAAGGAAACTTGCCAGGCTGAATATTTACTGCTGCTCATAGGTCTTCAACCACTTTATAGTCTCAAGGTAGAAATTTTGCTTTTGAGGACAGTCATAGTTACTAGTGGGGAAATTATTCTCTGGAAAAAAGTAACAGCGACCATGTGATCATAGCATCCTTATCTTATATAGCTCATAGAAGAAAACCTTTTATCAAAGGCAATAGAATTTCCAGTTCTTACATGGATTGGATCAAACTAATGTTCTCTTCCGTTATCATTTATATTGTCTATTTCCCAATATATCCTTATATTTATACACCCAGTATGATCTATTTAACTCAAACTTAGAATCTAAATGCCCTGAATTATCTATTGAACCTCAAAGGAAAATTCTAGAAAGGACTCTATTTACTGCCAAATTAAACTCAAAATAAACCATTTCTCTAGTGACAGGATGTCTTCTTTTCTGGTGGACGTGACCCTCCTCCGTAACGGGGGCAACTTGTATTGCACTGGAGTGATTCCTGGATAAGGCAGTTGGGCTTTGAGCTGTCACATGACCTGAGTTGGCCATTGGAGAGGTACAGTCTGTCCCCCATTTGGGCAAACTAAGTTAATGCTTAATTACCACTTCCAAGCTTTTCTAATCATTCTTGATCAAGCCTGGATTTGGGGGTTCTGGGATTCTGTAAGCCTTGGTTTAAAAAAATTAATTACATGTTATATTATAAAAGACTTTTTTAAAGGGTCAAGCTAATCTATTTGTGAAAACACAGAATAGGAGTGACTCCCAGGTGATGGATAAAGTGGATATGAGTTTTCAGATTGTAAGTGAGTTAGGTAATGACACTGGAGAAGTCATAAATATCTGAGAATAAGTAATAAAGTGCATATTTTGGAAGCACTTCCAACAAATCAACCTTGCTTGAATCTCATCCATCTGCTAGAACTCTCCTATCCAACCAGCCTAATCTCGTGGAATAGTCCCTCCCTAATATCTCTCACATCCTTTATTTCCCTGGTCTCCTGCCACTATTCTAGTCCAGGTCCTCATCACATCGTGCCTGGATTATTGCAATGACCTCCTCGTCAGTCTTCCTGTCTCTAGTTTCCCTTTGCCTTTGATCCGTTCTCCACGATGCCACTGGACTCAGGGCTTTCTTTGTCCTAACATGCCACTTATGACATGCTCTAGCTCTGTGCAGAGTTCTGCTTCCCACTGCCTTCTGGGACAAGTCCAGATCCTCAGTCTGGCAGTTTAGGTCCTTGGGTTCCAGCCCACCTGCCCAACCTCCTCTCCCTCCATTGCTTAAAGTGTGAGCCAGGTGGACGTGCTCACTGTCTATTCCCAGCAAACCTGCCCTCTCTGTCCATTGGTCCTCATGGCCATCCTCCACCTGGCTTGTCCCTACAAATCCTCCCCCTGTTTCTCTCTGTCTATTCAAACCCAAGTTCTATTATGGTTCTATCCCCTAAAGCCTCTCCAGCTGGAGAGCCAGCCCATCCTGGTCTAATAGGGTGGCTTTCTTATATTGCTTATTCTATTTCAGTAGAAACTTCCTGGAGCTGAAAAGTAACTGGACTCAAATAGAAAAAAAAATATATATATATATATATTCATATATATATATACACACATATATATCAGGAATAGAGGAATTTCAGGTACCAAACCTATCAGAGGGCAGAGGGCCATGTAGATGATGGCGTACTCAAACCTGGCTCTGTGTTCACATCACTTTCATCTCTGGAAAGTGGCAAAGAAGTTTGTGATGGCTCTTCCAGTTAACCCAAGGCCATCATGCCCCATCTTTCTCCATTCAGAAGATATTTGTATACACACTTGCTCATTCCTTTATTTTGCTGCCTTGGATAACTTTTAAACTATATATTATTGTTCCCCACTTGTTTGGAGGCAAAGGTATAAAAAGGAGATGGGAGCAGATCAAGAGAGATATATTTGTTTTTGATTCTATTCCAGTATATCAGTTAAAGTCCTCTGAGGAAGACAGAAACCACTCTAGATATTTCAACCAGGGAATCACTTCACAGATTATAGAGAGATTAGCATCTTTAGCAACCCAGGACCACTAGTGAGACTAGAGGAACATGGGGAGGAGGTAGTGTGACCAGAGTCTGGTTGTCAGGGCCATGGGGCAGTGGCTGCTTAGTGGGAGCTGGGATCATGGAGGAAAGGGTTTCCCTGCAGGATCCACAGCCAAGGAGGAAACACAGCCACTACCAATGATGCCACAGGAAGGGGGAAGAAGGCGAGAAATGACCATGATTCTCCCTCTCTGCACCCCCAGTGCTCCCTCAGGGCCCCACATTGGTGTATACTGCCTGAAGGCTGGAAGGAGAGAGGCCCTGGAAAGAACAAGAATAAATCTAGTGGCACTAGCAGGCAGGCAGGCAGCACATCCTTCTCCTACACAGCTGCCTCCCTGCCCACACCTCCCTTCTCCTCATCCTGGCAGGCCCCTGGCCCTCCCAGATGACCATCAGACATCTCTACCATTCCCTCCTGACCTTGACCTCCACTGCATCAGCACTGTCCTTGCTGCCCCAACCCTCTCTGGCCTCTCTCTTGAGCTGCCAAACACTGAGGAGAACAGCCGCAGGGCTGTGCTGACTGAAGCCACCGACACGGGCCATCAAGCCTGCAGGTGACCGTCAGAGCTGCTGGACAATCCTTTGGACAAGATTCATGAATTTTCAGGCATCTCGCAGATTGGCTCCCCAAGTCTTTCCCATTCTCCTCAAGTCCCCAACCAAGCCTCATTCCCTCAGGTTGTCCTCTCACTCTCCTGAGACACCAAGCCATGGACATGACCTTTCTCCATGTCTCTTCTTTTGAAGCTTCACTCATTCATTTTTTCCTCTTGTCTCTGAGGATGACACACTCATCTTTCTTGTCCTGTAACAAGAAACTGTAACTTCGCTCCAATCATCATCCCTTCTGCTTTTTTGTTTTAAAGCTTCCCTCTCCCTTGGCTTTGTTTTCTCTACTTAGAAGTGCGCACAGGTGCTCCATTGCTCACAAGGCAACAAGAAAAAGTCCTTCGACCTCTTTGACCCCCTCTCTTGACCTTCAAACGTATTCAAAGAGCAAGAGTAACCCACCATCTGTTTTTCATGGTATCATGATTGTCCATTCCAGTGGCTTTGATCTACCTTTCTTGTCTGTGACTGTCCCAGCATTGGTCTCCATTAACAACCTCCCCAACTCCACCCTCTTTCTGGAAATGTCTCCCTCAATTTCTGTGAGGTTGTGCTCTATTGCTCTCTGCCCCGTATTCTCTCCAAAATCTCCTCCATGGCTTACTTCCTGGCTCCTCTCTCTCTTCTGTGCAAATACATAGGGGTCTCCTACTCTCTGCCCTCAGCCCTCACCACGTAATCCCTGCACTTGGCCTTTCTGTCGTCTCTCCCCTCCTGTCCCATCTCTGTGTAGCACTCTCTGGATCCGTCCCCTGCTCCAAGCCTTGGGGACAACAAGCTGGTACCAAATATTCAACCAGCTGGAAATCCAATACCTTCTGCTGCCACAAACCTCTGTACCCCAAACGACACTTATTCCTTCCCATAATCCCTCAACAGATCCTACCACCACTGACTTCGCACTTTTTCTCGTGTTCTGCCTCAACATTTTATGCGGCCTTTGACTCCCCCATCCCCACCTCCAGTCAGTCACCGAGCCAAGGAAATCCAAGAAGACAGACCCCCTCCTGTTTCGACTGGCCTCACCATTGAACAAGCCCTTATTATGTTCAAATATATTTTCTATATAATGTATAAATACATTTATTATATTTAAATATAATATATGTTATATAATGTATAATAATTTATTAAATTTTATATATTCATATATTTTATTTATAATATTATATAACATATTTATATATTTAAATATTAATTTATTACATAAATATATATAACTGTGTCATATAATATATTTAATAAATTATATATTTAACACACATAAATATATCATGAAACATTTCATACATGAACATAAATGTTACAATGTCATGGTTCCCAGTCTCTGTGCTGAGGCACCCAGGACACCACAGTGAAACCACAGAGCTTCACAGCGTATATTAATTTTCAAGGGACAATACACGATCTACGACTTTTAAGATCCGGGGACTTAACAACCTACCCAGGTATTTAGTTTTGTCTCAGGACACTGAAAAATTTGTGGAGACACTAAGGGCGTTATGATCTGAGAGAGTTTGTGAAACTCAGGTATCTAGGTTTCTAAAAATACAATGGCCACCCAGGTTCTTACAATGCAACTCAGGAATAGAGCACTTAAATACCGTGGAAGCCCTCTGATAGTCCATCCCTAATTACATCACCTGCACCTGCCTACCCTTCCAGAACTGACTGCTGGTCTGAATTTTTGCATTTACAATTCGCTTGCTTTTCTTTATAGTTTTTATTGCAGTTGTCTGTGTTCTTACAACATATATGCAGAAATGTATATTGTTTAGATTTGCATGTCAACTTTCATCACATTTTTCATTGAATGTTACCTGATATCCTGGCTAATTTTCCTACCTCTTAGTTGATCTTCTTGCCATTGCATGTACTTTTTTAGTATTTGATCAGGTCTCTTCACTGCTCAACAATCTTCAGGGACTCCCCGTCCACTACTGAATCAATTCCCTTGACATTCTCTGCTTCACCAAGTCCCTTAATTTCTCTGAGTCCCAGCTTCCTTACCTGTAAAATAGGAATGACAATATCCATCTTACAGTATTGTTTTTAAGGATCAAGCAAGACAACCCTGTAACATGCATACCATGGGGCCTGACACATAGTAGGAAACACAGTATGTTGGAGCTCTTATTATTCTTATTATTTTTATTACTCCTCCCTAAGCTGTTATTTTTTTCATGATGATTATTACTCCTCCATGAACTTTTCCCTTAGACAGAGCACAGTGCCTGAACATAGTGAATGTTCAGGAAATATTTGTTGAATGTGAAATAAACTGATCTCCATCAACTCACTTGCAAGTTGGTAATGCCCAGGGAAGGAACTCTCATTAATGGGTCTTTGAAGAACCCCCAAAGGGAGGTCAATATTGCCTATTTTGGAAGGCGTGGGGAGGACATTGATACTTTCTCTTCCTAAGGAGAGTAAATAAGATGTAATGGGGTCTCTAAAACATTTTATAGCAGTGTATGGGCATGGGCTTGGTCTGAGCTGCTCCCAGCTGGCTTTTATCAAGCGTTGGCTGCCCTCAAAGCAGAACCGCCTGCTCAGGAAGACCGCAGGATTCGCTGGGGCCCCAGCTGGAGGGAGGGAACCCATTCCTCTGATGTGCACAGTTGTCTCAAGCCTGGAACCCATTCCGTGCTCAGATGCCAAAAAACTATTTTGGATCCTGTAGAGCTGGCAGGAGTCCCTGGTATACCATGTCTCTGTGTGTGAACTGCTTGACACTTGCTTCTTCCGTTGGGGCTATTTCAAAGAAGATGGAAGAAATTAATGGCTATAAATGACTAAGGCCCTTGAGTTATGGTTTTATTTATGCATAATTTTGACAGGTTGTCTCCTTATTGAGAAATGGCATGTTTCTTATCTTTTGAGAAAGATTATTCTCACTAATCTGAGAAGGGATGCCATGCATGATGCTGGAAAAGGACAATATGTAATCTGTCTTAGCAAAAACACACTCCCAGAAGCCTGTGGTCCCAGCAGAACCACTTCATCTTTAATTTGCTGTGTTTTCTCAGTAGGTTCTCATTCCTGCCTCTCCATTACCACTGCCCGATCTTCAAACTTGCAAAAGAAAGTCACCATTTGATCTCTAGAAGTGTCATGTTTCAAAACTACGCATGTACTAAAAAGCAGAAAACCTTGCATACATGTGCAATTATGTCAACTTAAGTGCACATTTATGTGAATATATTCTATACGTAAAGTCAAAAAAAAAAAAGCATAGTGTTCTATGATAAGAAATGCATATTGATTACCCCAAACAATGACTAAAGTTTATCTATCTTCTGCCTTGGATAGCACAGAGTGACTTATCAAATGTCAATGGTTACACTAACATTTACTTTAGCAGAGAGATAATTACAAGGGCTGAAAAGCCTATTGAAACCATCAGAGTGTCCACACATCAGCTGGTTTCCATCCAAACCAGTTTATAATCTAAAGCAGGAATGTCTTTACTTTAGATGCAACTGAGGTCATAACCTTTTGCTTCTTGTTCTTAACCAGGTTCTGTGGCTGTAGTGACTCCAGCCAAGTTTCACATTGCTTCTGGACGTTTGGATGTGGCTCTGCTGCTAATGTTGGCAGGGTGAGTGGGAGAGCTGACCACTGGCTCTAGTTGCAATTTCCACCTGTGAAAAATGTTTCTAGGGAGGTAGATATGAGAGGTCAAATGGATTGTGAATGACATTTGTATAGCCAAGTTCATAAGATCCTGAAGGAGCAATAGGAAGGCTCTCTTTACTTTTGTGAATTTGCTTTGAAAGTCAAGGTAACTCATAGGGTAACCCTTTGTTGGAGATTTTAGTTACAAAGTTGTGATTTGATATTAAAAATTTAGATACATTAGATGATTTGAAACTTTTTTGTTGACCTTTGTGAAAAGAAAAACAAATATTGCTCAGGTGTGCTTCACTGTGTACTAAAAAGTAAACAGCTGTGTGCAGACTCAATGATTTTTCCCCGGTGACACTCATTCTGAATGAGGTGCTTTGTCTTAATTTTAGATAGAACTGAAACTCTTAATTAAATAACTAATTGCTTATAGCAACTGGTCAACTTCCTCTTTAAAGAAAATATTTTTGGAAAATGATCTTTTTGTGCCTAGAAATCCTTTGTAAAACAATTACTCTTATTCACCCACCACATAATCTCCACATTTCTTAAAGTAATTTTCTTAAAAGCCTACTTAAAACACTTACATAGATTTGCTCTCCAATCATGTGAAGCTTCAGGTTTGAACTTTGGTACTTTCAACCAAGCCTCACTTACCAGAACAAGTGGGTGGCAGTTCCACCCTTCCTTTTTCCCCATTACTTTTGTTTGTCTGACATTTATTTAGGTTCTCCTGGCTTGTAAGCACCATGCGAGACCTTGCAGATTTCAAAATGAAAAAGACCCTCAATGAAGGGGGTGGCTATGTAAGCAAGTCATTGCAGTAGAGTCAGATGTTTGCCACCAGAGAGGCACCCAGAAGAAGCACTGACCCCCTTGACTGACGGAGTCAGAAAAATCTCCATGAAAAGATGATATTTGAGCTCAAACCTGTACTAGTTTGCCAAGCCAAAGAGAAGGAGGAAAGGGCTTTGAGGTTAAAGAAATATTGGCGTAAAAATGCAGGGATGATATGAGATGTACTTGGTGATGCAAGATGGGGAGTGGTAATTCATAGAACATACGCACACTCACACACATATAATTAAATGCCTACTATATACCAAGCACTGGACAGACAAGTGTGTTTTTCATTCATTATCTTGTTTCATTTTCATGAAGATACTATGAGGTAGGATGTGTGTGTGTATATATATATATATATATATTTATTTTTTTTTTTTTTGAGTCAGAGTCTCACTCTGTTGCCCAGGCAGGAGTGCAGTGGCGCGATCTCTGCTCACTGCAAGCTCCGTCCTCTGGGTTCACGCCATTCTGCTGCCTCAGCCTCCCGTGTAGCTGGGACTATAGGTGCCCGCCACCACGCCTGGCTAATTTTTTTTTTTTGTATTTTTAGTAGAGACTGGGTTTCACCATGTTAGCCAGGATGGTCTTGATCTCCTAACCTCGTGATCCGCCCGTCTCGGCCTCCCAAAGTGCTGGGATTACAGGTAGGATATTTTTTTAAATCATCACTTTACAAATGAAAAAAAGGTATCATTGTCACTGCTTTACAGATGCTGCTCCCTGTGATTCAGGGATTTACCCATGGCCCTAGAGCTCATCAGATGTCACTAGCATCAAATCCTTTGCTCTTGATGATTGTCTAAGCAGGTTCATGCAAGGTAGTTAGGGTCCTTCCATGCCATGTAGATACTTTGATCTTCATCCTGTTGGCAATGGGACACCATCAACATGTTTCCAATAGGGCAATGAAGCACTCTGGCTAAGTTTTGAAATATAATGATATGGCAGGAATGTGAAGGAAGGGCTAGAACAAGAAGACACAAGAGACAGGAAAAATAATTAAGAGGGCATGAAAATAGTCTAGGCAAGAAATAGCAAGGACCTGAAACAAGGAAGGGGTGATAGAGCAGCAAAGATGGATTTGAGAGACAATTCAGAAATAAAATGGAAAGGACAGAGGAGCCCTGGGGCACGAATTACCCGAGCTCTTTGTTACAAGCCACAGAACCTATGTATTCAAGTCAGTTTTAGAAGAAAATGAACTTGCTAAGTGATCTGAGGGAATGTATAGAATCTTTGGGAGAGCCAGAGAATCAGTTTTGGAAGTGTCGGGGTTAAAAAAAGGGCCAGAATTACATGGAACTGCTCTTGATGGAGACCCTGCCGCTGCCTTCACTGGGCTTTGGAACTGGTGCCCAGGTATGCATTTCTTTCTGCAGTTATAACAAATTAACACACACGTAGGAGATTAAAACAATACCATATATTCTCTTACAGTTCTGGAGGGCAGAAGTTCAAAATGGGCCTTGCTGGGCTAAAATCAAGGTGTGGCAGGGTTGCTTTCCTTTCTAGAGGTTCTAGGGGAGTGTGATTTTCCTTGGCTTTTCCAACTTCCGGAGGCCACCTGCATCCTTGGCTCATGGCCCCTCCTCCATCTTCACAGCCAGCAGTGTGGCTTCAAATCTTTCTCTCTTACTTCTGCTTTCATTACCGTGTCTCTTCCTCTCCCTCTGCTTCCATCATCACATCACCTTCTCTGATTCTGAACCTCCCACCTCATCCCTTATAAGAACGCTTGTGATTACATTGAGCTCACCCAGATAATCCAAGACCATCTCTCCATCTCAAGATCCTTAACTTGATCCCATCTGCAAAATCCCCTCTGCCATGTGAGTTAATGCATTCATATTCAGGTTCCAACAATTGAGACATTGACATCTTTGGGAGCTCATTATTCTTCCACACAGTACTGTAGCTTATCTCTCAAACTCTGGTCTCAGGGACCTCCTTGAAGGACCTCACCTCTCTTTGTCTCTGAAATGCTGGCTGTCACTGCTGCATCCACCCTCACCAGAATGTCTGCAGCCCCGGCCTGCTGCTTCACGTCCATAGATTCCAAATCAGAGTCTTACATAGTTGTGTGTGATCAGGGTGTCCGGATCGTATGCCCAAACCTCAGCTACAAGAGTGGCCCAGAGAACAAGTTTTGACTTCTTCCTTAGGAGCAAGCAGGCTCATGATGCTGGGAGGTGGTTGGGGCGGGGTGGGGGGCCGGTGTTCAAAAGTTGATAGGGGCCAGGCACAGTGGCTCATGCCTGTAACCCCAACACTTTAGGAGACTGAAGCAGGAGGGTTACTTGAGCCCAGGAGTTCAAGACTAGCCTGGGCAACAGAGTGAGACCACATCTCTACAAAAAAATTAAAAAAAAAAAAAAATAGCCGAGCATGGTGGTGCACCTGTAGTCCCAGCTTACTCCTGAGGCTGAGGCAGGAGGATCACTTGAGCCTGGGAGGTTGAGACTCCAGTAAGCTACGATCTCAACATTGCACTCCAGCGTGGGTGACAGAGTGAGATTCCATCTCAAGAAACAAAAGTT